AGGCCCCCAAAGGCCCCCGAGAAGCCCCTAAAGGCCCCCAAGAAGCCCCCAAAGGCCCCTAGGAAGCTTCCAGGAGGCCCCAGGAATGACCCGAGAAGTACGCAAGACATCTCGTCATCCTTCTCCTCCTGCATCGTCGCCGAGGACGCGCCAGGAGGAGAAGGATGGTCATCCTTTTTCTCCTTCTCCTCCTCCTCCTCCTCCTCCTTCCTCCTCCTCCTTCTACTCCTCCCTCTCCTAACTTAATCCTCCCCTACCTCCCCACGCGTTCCCCAAAGGGTTTCCACAACGGCTGGTGGAACACATGGTCCAACAGCTTGGCCAAACGTTGCCCAAACGTTTGGCCACATGGGCGTATCCTAAAAGGCAGAGGGCGGCGGTGATTCACCGTAGGCGTCTCTTATCCGCCGCCCCCTGCTGATTAGTCACATAGGTGCCTGTCGTGCTGGATGGCTGGTGGTGTTCGGTTGTTTTCTGTAGAACTCCCCCCGGGGCTTCGGCCCAGCCCGCCAGCCACCAGGAAAGGTCCCCAAAATTGACCCGTCGTTGCCCAAATCGCCTCCGAGACGGCCAAGGCCCAAGATGGCCTTCAAGAAGCCTCAAAGACGGCCAACTTGCCCCAAGCGAGCCCAAGATGGCCTCGAAGACGGCCCCAAGATGTCTCAAAAACCGCCGCGATGGCACAAGAGAGCCCAAGACGGCCAAAGAAGCGCCCAAGGCCCCTAATACGGCCCAAGAGGCCTCCAAGAGGTCCTCCAGGAAGACCTGAGGCCAAAATCCGTTCTGTTCCTTAGGTTTCTGAACGAATTGGGCACTTGTTTCAAAACGGCTCTCCGACGGCCCAAGACGGCCCAAAACGGCCCAAGAGGCCCCCAAGCTTGCCCCAGGATCGCCCGGGAAGGGCCAAGAGGCTCCCAAGACGGCCCCCAAAGGGCCCCAGGACTGCCCAAGAGGCCTCCAAGACGCCCAAGATGGCCTTCGCCCCAAGAGGGCCCCTAAGACAACCCAGAGAGGCTCCCAAGACAGCTTCCGACGGCGTCAGACGGGCCAGGAACGCCGCAAGATGGCTAAAGAGGCCCCGAAGAAGCACCCACACGCCCCCAAGAGGCCCCCAAAGGCCCCTAAGAGGCCTCCAAGAGGCCCACAGAAAGCTCCCAGGGTGCCCCAATAATGACCCAAGAAGCTCCCAAGAAGTCTTCTCATCCTTCTCCTCATCCTGCTTTCTCCTCCCTCTCCTCATCTTCCTCTTCCTCCCCTACGCGTTCCCCGAAGGGCTTCCACAACGGCTGGGGGAACGTATGGTCCAAGAGCGTCGCCAAACTTGGCCCGAACTTTTAGCCACACAGGCGTTTTCGCAAAGGCACGGGTCGGCGGTGATTCGCCGTAGGCGTCTTCGACATAATCCGCGTCGCTGAGTGCCCCGGCCAGGACGGAGGGCCGCCGTGCAGCCTGTGTCCTGCCGAAGCGGAGGCGCTACGCAAGACGCCCTGGCACGGCGGAGCGTCCACAGGGGATAGCTTCGGGAATCGCGCAACACTCCGCCCACAAGACCCCACCCTCCCTGCCGTGCGGCCAGACGCAATGAAGATCTTGGGGGTCATGCCCAAGCCCGTCCGATTCCTTCTCCTCGATTCCTTTTCCTCATAAATAACTCCTCCCCGTCGCACACCGGCACCAGTCGGAAGGGCGGGCCGGGCGTTTCGCCTGAGACGTCCTTACCATTATGATCCTGAAGCACAGGAGCTGGCAGCGGTTGCACAAATGGAGGGCGGGTCGCTTCTAAAATGTGGCTCTCCCGCAGCACCGCGCACACTCGCCTTAAAAATCTTAAGTCTCACGGGTTGACGACGGGTTGTTTTCAAAGTGTGGCTCTCGCCTCAGCGCCGCGCACATAATATTTAAAAATGTCCAAGAACTCCACGGATTGATGGCGGGTTGTTTTCAAAATACAGGGAGGTTGAAAAAACATGGAATTCCAAAAACAAGGAATTGTTAATTCTAGGTTGTCGCGTAGAGATCGCAGCCCCGAAGCGAGGCAGCGAACAAAACTAGGAATTTATATATACATATATATATATATAAAGAACCGGACCCGCGACGCGGCATGAAACAAAACAAGGGACGCCCTGGAACAGCAGGGGGTAGATCTGGGGGAACTGTCGGGAGATCTGGGGAGTGTCCAATGGAAGACTTGGCGCGGTTGCAAAATGATAAATCTGGAGGGACATTTGGCGGAGGATCCGGGGGAGATCTGAGGGAACATCTCGGATGTAATATTTGGCGGGAAGTCTGGAGGAAGATCTGGAAGGGCATCTGAGGGAAGATCTGGTGGAAGATCTGGGCGAAAATCTGGGGAATGTGCTGAGGGAGATTTGGCGGGAAAATCTCGGGAAGATCTGGAGAAAGATCAGAGAGAGAAGATATGGGGAAACATCTGGGGGAAGATCTGGGTGAAGATCTGGAGGACGATCTGGAGGAAGATCTGGGGGAAGATCTGAATAGCCTGCTGAATCTATTGGGGAAAACGCGAAAAATCTCTGCGGGACAACATCGGAAGATCCTCGAACCTCAAAGCTCGAACCTCCTCGGCCAAAATCCGCTCAAGATGGGTCCGCGGACCCCTCCCGGGGTCGCAGCGCGCCAGCTTTTCGCGCCCCCGAAGGCCAGAAGGCCTCGAACCTCGATCCCCAAGATCTTCCCCACAAATCTGGGGGGAAGATCTGGGGGAAGATCTGGAAGAAGATCTGGAGGAAGATCTGGGGAAAGGTCTGGGGAAAGATCTGGGGGGAGATCCGGGGGAAGATCTGGGGGGAGATCTGGAGGAAGATCTGGGGAAAGATCTGGAAGAAGATCTGAGGGAAGATCTGGGAGAAGCTCTGGGGGAAGATCTGGGGGAAGATCTGGGCGAAGACATCTAAGCGGTGATCTGGGAAAAGATTTGGAGAAAGATCTGGAGGAAGATCTGGGGGAAAGATCTGGGGGAAGATCTGGGGGACGATCTGGAGGAAGATCTGGGGAAAGATCTGGAACATCTGGGGGAAGATCTGGGGGGAGATCTGGGGGGAGATCTGGGCGAGGATCTGAGGGAAGATCTAGGAGGGCGTTTGGGCGAAGATCTAGGTGAAGATCCGGGGGGGGTTGGGGGAAAAGGAGGAGAAGATCTGAATCACGATATGGAGGAAGACCTCAAGATCTGCGTGACGATCTGGGAGGAGATCTGGGTGAAAATCTGCGGGGAGATCAAGGGAAACATCCGGGGGAAGATCTGGGTGAAGATCTGGAGGACAATCCAAAGGATAATTTGGGTGAAGATAACCGTGACCCCTTTTTAAAACTAGGTTTTCGAGTATCACTCGCGCGATGACGGCAGGGCATGAAACAAAACAAGGGATTTAAAACCTATGATTTTAGAGTAGGCCCGCGAGGCTGAGCCTGGGCATGCCGTCCTAGTTGGTTTGGTTCGCCTCAGCGCCGCGCACACTCGTCTTAAGAAGCTGATAGAATTTCACTGATTCGGGACGGGTCGTTTTCAAAATGTGGATCTCGCCTCAGCGCCACGCTCTCTTTGTAAACATCTGCACAAGTTTTACTGATGTTCATGGTCAGCATACCAGAAATGGTGTTTTCAAACGACGCAAAGTTGTCAGGACGCAACAATTACATTGATTCGCGGTGTTGAAATTCCTAGATTTACGGTTCGGGATCGTCAATAAGCAACTGTCAAATTGATTCGTGGCGCTGAAGTCCCGAGGATGGTGTTTTGGCACGCGTCAGAATGTTCAAACGGTTGTCTCCCAATTGGGCACTTCCCTCAGTGGATATGATTCCCTGTCAGAGGCCTCTGAAGAGGGAGCCTGGAGGGAAGATGTATTCCAACAGCGTTGATGAGTCTTGGGTTTACACTGGCCCTCCTCATCCTCCATTTTCTCCACCTCCTCCTCCACATCCTCGACCTTTTCCTCCTCCACGTTCTCCATATCCTCCTCCTCCACCTCCTCCACATCGTCGCTCTCGCAGTCTCGGAAAAAAGAATAGAGTCGATCCAGCCCCAGGACGCGAGCATTGCCAACCACCCACCCAGGCATAGATAATCAAACCATTTTCGCAAGCACTCGCATCATACGAACCATCCTTCCTGCCAGAGGCCGTTACTGAAGTGAGCGCGCGAGAGCATGCATCAAGTGCTATAGCGAGTCCATGCGCAAGACCGAGCAAGCAGAGGAACACCGATGTCGACAATCCTCTCACCATCGACGAGCTCATGCAAAGGATGGACTGTCGCAGTGTGTACATCCGCAGCACGTGGTCTTGACACGTGCGCGCGCGCGCGAAGAGGGCCTGACGGCCTTTCAGTCAGGTCACACCGGCTGCAACGCACGAGGCACATGAGACTACTGACGTGGCTCTGCGACGCGACCCGTGCGCGTGGTCCGCCCGCTGCCGTGAGGGATTCCATACGATAGATCAGCAAAGATGGCGGGATCCGGTGGGGCATGGCACCTTGTGCTATGACGTATGATCTCATCGGTGTGAGGAGGCCGAACGGTCATTCACTGGCCCTGGGTGCGTGGCTCAAGTGGGGTTCCGCGGTGCGGATTGTTGCTGTTGCTGTTGTTCGTTATCGTCGTCCCGCTCGCGACCCAGCCCGCGACCCACACACGACCCGCCCGCGCCTCGCCCGCGACCCACACGACCCGCCCGCGACCCGCCCGCGACCCACCCTGCGACCCACCCGCGACCCCCAGGCGACCCACCTGGCGACCAACCCTTCATTCTTATCAGCAACTGCGGCGTGCAATACATGTAGAGTGGGCGGCCCGTCCAGACAGCATACTAAGACGAAGTGGAACGTGCCGTGCCGAAGGCCAGGGGAGTGGAAAAGTGATTCTCGTAGTGGGTTCCAGGGCCGGGGTTTGAAGGGGCTGGGATTTTAACATCTGGTGCCGTGCACCTCCAAGATCGGACATCTGTTTTTCTGAGCGCCACTCCATTGGATTTCAGTCGTACTCGGGCAAGCTATAGGCTACAGGACGCTCTACCCTATAGCCCTGGCCCTTCCTCTTAGAAGCGTCTCGCCTTTATGATTCGGATGTGCATCCCTGGAGCGCGCCTGAAGGGAAGAGGTCAGCAAGACAAAAGACACAGGATGTTTTGCGTCCGCTGCGCGGCAGGGGAAGTCTGCGCTACCGGAGAGGCCTAACGGGGGTGCTGTTCGGGCAAATTGCGCCACCATGCAAGAGGGGGAGCAGGAGGAGGACGCGGCCGAAAGAGGGGGCGGAAGTAGCGAGCCGCTCAGGGGGACGGCTCACGCCCCGAGCCAGACGACACAGGACAACTCCACGTGCGCGATCCCGAAGATGTGCGAGCGCGGCTCTACAACGCCCCATGCTGGACCGGGAGGCCCCCGCCTCTGGAATTCCTGCACCAAGGGGAGGCCGGGAGACTGGGGGCACTGCCGGAGGCAGCGAGGCAAATTGATCCAACGAGGAGTGTCCTGGCTGAGCCAATCACGGAGTGAGCCACTGGCCCAGGGAGAGGCGTTGGAGGGCCAAGCCAAACAGCGCCTGGCTGCGATGATTCGTGCTCTCTTGTCTTTTCTTGATTTGCGTGGCTACTTCTAACTTTTCTTCCAACGGCCGCCTGTAGGAGGACGTGTCCGACCTAACGCTAGGGGCCAACGTTCGGGGGGGAGGGGCCCGAAGTGTCGAAGCTCTAGGAGGGCCAACACTACCTGCTTCCAGAAGGCCAACATCTGGGGCCAGTGCCGAATACCACTCTCACGTCCTAGCCCAAAGCGTCTATGGACACATTGGGTGCCGTGCGTCGGCGGCGGAGGCGTCGGCGGAGGACGAGAGAAAGGGATGGATGGATGGATGGATGGAACGCCGGGGGGGGCGGTTGGTCTCAGTGCCGCGGCCTGAACATCTAAGGGCAATGCTCTGCCTTATGTAGTGCCCCCTGCGTGGCTTTCGAGAGCGGTCGAGGGGCTATAACTACTAACCGCAGCCTGGCCCGCTAGCATGAGAAACTCCGTGGCTTCTCGTACCGGTTGACCTTCGGCAGGGATGCACACGCATGTTCCCGCCGCTTTCTTCCTCGTAAGCCCACGCCCCCTCGCACATACAACCTTATGGGGCACGGGGAGGAGGACGGTGCACCAGCCTGTAAGCATCTTCTAACACCTGCCTAGCTCTGCTGCTACCCGCCGCTGCCATTCGCTCTAGATTCGCCAGAATGTTAGGATCGCTCGAAACATGCTGTGGAACTATGGCTGTAGCAGGAGTAATAAGGGAAGACGAGGAAGAGGGAAAGCTCAGATGCTCGGGCGAGGAAACTAATGCATACTGGATAGGCTGGCATCGGGGACCCCTGTTACCCATCAGAGATCCACCTGGCTGGGCGCTATCCCCCCACCTCGGGAGGGTGCCGCCTGGCCGCTTTCCCCCGTTTCAGGAGCCCCCTACCCCTGCGCCTCGATAAAGGCTGGTCGCGCACTGATGGCTGCTGCACCGCCCACTGCACTGCTCAAGCTCACCCCTCCATGTTCGCGCGGAGCTGCCTCTACACCGCCCGTGCCAATTCGGGCATCGGCGCCTGGCCCAGCAGCTTCTCCGCTCCGACCTTCTGCATTCCCGCGATGAAAGTCACGCGGGCCTCCTCGATCGCGGGCGCCGCGAGCTCCTCCGTGTCGCACTGGCGTAGGCCCGCCCGCGCGTTGAAATTCACCGCGGCCTTGCCTCGGCATTCCCCCGCTCTGCCGGGGCGCCCTCCTTCGCGCATGCGCCCTTGATCCTGCAAACTTCATCGCCGCCGAGACTTGTAAGCGAGGCGGCCCCGCGCCATGGCCCTTGCCTTTCTCCTTCACCGCCCTCTGGTAGTCCGCAACCCCTTTCATTCCCGCCTTCACAGGGGGGGGCCTTGCTCGGGCACTGCCAGAAGTCGAACGTCGCCGCTGCCAGCTCGCGGCTCTGAGCGCCCTACGATAGTACGAGGCGCTGCAGGCTGGCGACGTCGCCCCTCGAGCTTGCGGTCGCATCCTTCCTTTCGGTCCCTTGCCCGTCTTTGGCTCTCGTCGCCCTCCTGCTGCTGGCCACGCGCTCCGCTTGGGAGCCCTCCGCGCCGCTCTCGGCGCCTCCGCACTTGCTCGCGCGAGTGGCGGGGCCGACGCGGCGCGTTACTGCGCGGGTCTGAACATCGCCCAAATCTCGAGCAGCATGGCTACATAGCGCGCAGCTTAAGCTGTCGAAGATAATCAACTCGCGTTCCCATCTTCCATAGTTCAGGTAACATGTCTTGCTCGCGCCTTCAATTGCTGCCATAACATGATATACCGCTACTCGTCTGTCTGCAAATACTGTTCGGCACCGTGGACATTGATTTGCACGCGTAAGACCAATACCGATATACATCGACGCGCCTGTTGCGGATGCGCCGCGGGCGCTCTACATGTTGCATATGCGTTGCCTCATGCCGCCTCCTTTTATCGCCCCCATGTCGCAGGCGAATGTGTCTGTTATCCCCTCACCCGTCGCCTTAGGCCCCCCACACACACACACACACACACACACACACACACACACACAACACACACACACACACACACACACACACACACACACACACACACACACACACACACACACACACACACACACACACACACACACACACACACACACACACACACACACACACACACACGCCCCTCAGCCTGCGAGAGCGAGATCGGACAATGAGTGCGCCAGTGGAGCGCCAGCATGCGCTCGCCCCCTTACCTTCGGCAAACAACTGCCAATCTCCGCCGCCATCTGAACGCCACTCGCAGAAATCCGCGCTAATGGTCGCCAGCAGACTACGACCCTCTCGGACTTGAATAGCCCGCGGCGTCCTGTCTCGAAAAACACCACTGCCATGGTCAAGTCGCGAAATTATTTCCACCTCCTCCACCCGCGTGTTTCCGCAAACCGTTGCAAGAACCTGTTTAGCTTCTTCTGGAAACCTCCCAACATTGATAACGTTTCAACGTTCTGATGAAAAGCTATGCGGCCGTGCCGTTTATGTTCCAGCACTCGAAAATCTCAAACGCGCTCATCGATTTCGTCGTTCCTTCCGGCGTGGCCCAGCTACGCTGCCCCCCAGCCAGACTTCTTAAAAGCTTCACCCTGATATTGTTTAAGTACGCGCAGTGCTGTTTTTTTCCTAGAACCACGGCGGTGACCCCAGACATGCCCGCCCCCTGGACCAGACCCTGGAACATCAACCTTGTCGTCTTATTTTGAGCTTTAGTCTGCCAACAAAAAACTCCTCTCCTCCAAGCTCGACACATAGCTCCCCCTCTCTTGCGCACCTCGTCGGTAACTGACGCATCCGGATCTAAATGCGGCCCCGACATTCTCACGTGCGTCGGAACCTCGCCCTTGACCCCGCGCTGCGTCTGCTCCATTCTCCTCGTCGTCGCCCGTGCTCCAACCCCTCGCAAGCCCACCAGGTGGCGTGTTTGTCCAGCATTAAGAAAGTAACCTCCTTCAGCGATTTCTCGTTGAAGCGACTCCGTCGCGCAGTTGAGGTTCCGAACTGCAACTATTACGCTCGGGGTGCCCAGCCGAACGCGCGCGCGCGGCGCGTCGCCCATAAAAGTCGCCAAACCAGCACCCACATCCTCGCCCTGCTTCATCGTCGGGCCCCTCGTCCGCAGCAGCCCGCGCGCGCTGCGCTGAACTTCGAGGCGCTGGTTCCACTGCTCAATGGGGGTTGTAGCAATCATTGGAGTCCCTCTGTGCTAGACAAAATCCCATTTGATTTCCGCTTTTTGGCATAAGGCGCATCCCCATAGTCGACCCCCTTGATCATCATGGATGCATGATCGATGGCCCCCACTGCGCGAGGAATGTCATTCACACGGTAGTGTGTTCTCGCAATATGATCCAGCTTCTTTCTTACCACAAGCCTAAAAGCACTTGCGAAATCTAAGTTCATGGCGACATGACCAGGCGCAATAACAGCGCCTAGCTCTGCGACCAAGAATGCCGCGCTTGCCGTTGCTCGCGTCCGCGCTGCATGCTGTTGCTCTTAGACAATACGTCGGCACTGCTTCACCTGCCCTGACCCACAACAAAACTCCAAATATATCCCCTGGAAAAGTTCGGCCGTGCAGCTCATCTCCTTCGCGCCCAAGCCAGCTCGAAGATAGCTTCCAAAAACCCATGGGTCTGGCTGCACTGCTACAGCTGCTTCTCGTTCGGGATCCGCACCAAGCGCTTGCCCTGGAATCCAACCCGTCTGGAGTTGCACAAACACGCCATGTATGTGTTTGTGGTAGCTCTTCCTCTTCGTCCAGTCCCGCTTGCCGCTGCGTCCGCGCTGCTACACTGTCGCTTGCCCCACTCGGGCCTGTGATATTATCCGTCGGTTTTTCGCTCATCAGCGTCATCTCGCTCGGTAGCCCCCAAGCTGGGTAAGCTCTTCGTTTGCAAGTCCTTCTCATATATATATATATATATATATCACTACTGTTTTGCGATATTCGAACGTCTGCCATCAACTCTGCATCTACGAACCTCGCTTCGCCCTCGCCGTCCGTGTCAACTGCCACGCTGTATTCCGACTTCACCAGCTCGTAGTTGGTTGCCGCTGCCATCAAACCTCCGTGTTGTCATTCCTCATCCACTTCGCTCCCCCACTCATGTGCTTCCATGTTCGTGCGAAGCGAATAGAAGCATCGTTTACGAGGTCCTCGTCCTGTACCGCTCTATTGACATCGAAGGGCGCGTAAGTATGCACAGTTGCGTGGGCCCGCTGCTTGACAGAATGCTTCCAAAACTCTGTCTTTTCGCATCCTCTCTCGAATATCCCTTTTACTTTGGAACGTCGCCGTGGTATCCTTCAGCGTGGTCTAGGGTTCCACGCTGCTGTGGCCCATCGTCTGCCTGAGCTCTCGTCGTCTGTCCAACAACTTCATTCGATTTTGAGTAGCCGCTCCCAACCAGTCTGGCACAACGCTGGCTCCCTGCGGACAAATCTCCAACATTACATTCGTCACTATGTTCCTCCAGAGGTCCCACATGCCATCAGGCGTGTGTCTGCTCTTTGCCTGTTGGCAGCGCTCTTCCGCAATCTGCGTCTGCTGCTCCTCGATCTGTTAAAAACAACTCTTCTCGTACAACTCCTTTGCGTTGACATTTCATCTGTGCGTCTCTGTCAACTCGCACAGGCCAGCGCTGCCCACCTAGATCTGTGTTGCATTGTATCACCAGAGCCACAGGCATCTATTCTCGCTGCCCTTCATGTCGACATGGTTGTAACATTCGTCCTGCTATGAGCAGAATTCTGCGATGTTTCACTGCTGCCGCTGCTCCATTTTGGTATAGGGATATGGTAAATTCTGTTTTGTCCTTTCTCGCCAAACAAGGTGTTTCCGGACTCTGGGACGAATGTTGTTTGTATTCTCAAATGCGTACTCTGACGAGTCCGTCGTATCTCTTTGCCGCTGCTGTTCTCGATCTCCGGGTCGCAACCTCCCACTGCAATGCCACGTGTAATTTCCATCACTCCTGTCGTGCCTCAAGCCAGGCCAGTATCTGAATTGCAATCTGCACACCAAATAATCGTTGCAATCCTGCCGCGTTTGTCAAATAGGTGTTCCACCCAAGAAGAAATTCGCTTCGCCAACTCGTCGTTGTCGTTCTTGCCCACTGGTTCGTAGTATGTGCCGAATATAAGTGTGTCCACCTTGCCTAACGTCAAACGATAAGCAGCCGCGCGTCCTCGTAGTCCCAGTGGTGAACGGTGTACCTGGCTTAAGCATGTCCTCGGTAACTGAGTAGAGAAAAAAAAAAAAAAAAAAAAAAAAAAAAAAAAAAAAAAAAAAAAACTTTATTTACCCAACAACTTCTTCTCCATCCACAGCGAATGGCCCAGTGATTCGGTAGTTGTTGAATAGCTGCGGGATGCTCCCAATATGTTCGTCGCTTTGTGACTGTAAATGTAATAAACTGCCATGTATTCAAATATTTGCTGATGTTTTCGCACCGTTCACCCTAAGCACAATGTAGATTATACTGAACCGCTCCCGCCATACAAAATAAGAAGATGGTGATCACCTCGCCGAACAGCATCGCGGCGCATGTGCTCACCTGCGCTGCGCCGCCATCCCTCGAAGTGTCGCGTGCCGCGTCCCTCGGGGTTGGGACTCCGACACCCTGAGAAATGCTGGCTCCTCCCGCCAGCTGACAGACAAGCCTTAAGCCTGGTACGCCAGCTCGAGAGAAAGGGGGAGGAGGCGGGGGGCAGAACGGAAAGGAGGAGCAGGAGACGAAAATGAGGAGGAGGAGGACCCTGAGATTGAAGGGGCCCTGGGACACACAAATGAATACACACAAATAAGATGTTTCCACATATTCTCCCAGATGTTCTTGGTTTTGGTCTTCCCCCCCACTTCCCATATGTTCCCATATTCTCCTGGGAATCGACGATTCATTGTGTCTGTGTGTGCTCTTTCCCCTCCTAGGAGATCCAGGCGTGGCATTTTTGTTCACACTGGGCGCGTTCGCCCGGCGTCGGGCCCCGGGGCCATCACACGTGGATCTGGTCCGGGAAATGCCGCGGAGGATGCGGTCTATAGGGCTCTGGGCGCGACGCACCGCTGGTGGGCGTGTCTTCCACCGCCACCACCATTGAGCAGGAGGGGGAGGGGTCCTCCTCCTCCTCCTCCTCCTCCTCCTCCCCCTCCTCCTCCTCCTCCTCCTCCTCCTCCTCCTCCTCCTCCTCCTCCTCCCCCTCCTCCTCCTCCTCCTCCTCCTCCTCCTCCTCCTCCCCCTCCCCCTCCCCTCCTCCTCCTCCTCCTCCTCCTCCCTCTCCTCCTCCTCCTCCTCCTCCTCCTCCTCCTCCTCCTCCTCCTCCTCCTCCTCCTCCTCCTCTTCCTCCTCCTCATCTTCCTCCTCCTTCCCCCCCCAACTTATGGTGGTGGTGGCGGACAACAGGCCCATCCACCGCGATGCTGAATCTTCGCTCGCAGCGTCAGATCTCAGGTCGGGTGTTGCTGGAAGTGCTCATGGCCCAAGGTGCCCCCAGCTTTTCGCACCATTTGGGGGCCCCTGGGGCCCCCTGGGCCTCGTGAGGGGTGCCCTGGAGACCGTCTGGGCCACCCCGAGAATCCTAGGGGCACCTTGGGCCAGGGGTACTTCTGGCAACACCCGATCAGGGTGGTGTCTCTTCCTCCCTGGCCGGGTGCGCACAGAAGGCCTCCCCCGGCGCCGTGAGAGCGGCCACTGGCGGGGAGCTCCGCCCGGGCGCCTCGGCCGGGTCTCAAAGGGTACCGCGGGGATGCCAAGCAGGGTGTCGTTCGATCCTTCCTTAACGAAGGGGCCCTAGGACACACAAATAAATACACACAAATAAAAAGATTCCCCATATTCTCCCATATGTTCTGGGTGTCAGTCTTCCCCCCCACTTCCCATATGTTCCTTTCTTTTTGGGGGGAATCGACGATTAATTGTGTCTGTGTGTTGTTTTCCCCCCTGACTTAAGCACGGCTGTGCCGCGAGGAGATGGCAAGAGGCCCGCCTGCTCGCGCACGCACGGCCGACGACTTGGCGCCTCTCGGAGACGGGAGGAGCAGCGGGCCGAGGGCCGCTTTCATGCGTTCTTGAAGCCGCCTTTTCTGCGACACCCCCAGACAACATCCTGACTAGCGTCCTCCGCCGAATGCAGCCGCGGCGAAGAAAAGGACCCTCGGCATGCACGCAAAAGTCAGGAGCACATCCCAACACCAGCGCTTTCGCCACTAGGCTTTGCCTAAATGATCCTTGCTTGCTTTTGGAGAGCCGGTGAGTGCTGGGCCTGCGCCAGGCTGCCTTCCTCAGGATCCTTGGTCTTGGTTCCTTGGTTCCTTGGCCCCGCTTCGCCAAGGGCTCAGCGAGCGGAAGAACTTCCTGCTGATGACACGGTAGTGTGTGGCGTTTGCGAAGGACTGAATACTGCGCTGATGCTTCTGATCGTGCTGGATTGCTCTCCCCCTACCACTATGCGCCCCCCAAGTGCAGCAGGCTCCAGCCGGCGACGCAAAAACAAGGCCCTCAGAAATTGCGGCCCTTACCGAGGCAGCCACCGCCGTCAAAGTCGTAGGGCACGCGAGTGCTGCCGAAGGGAGGCGGCGGTCCAACTGACCCACCGACCCCCACTGGTGGTGGACCTGAGGGGTCCAGGGCAGCGCAAAAATCCGCCAACCCCTTGGGGTAATCGGCGTGTGAGATGATTCCCCCTCTCCCCCCGGGGCCCGGTCCGGTCGGTTTGGAGGGGGGGTGGGTCCTGCTGGCCCGGGATGAACGCGACACGGGCCTCACGACAGGCCATGAGGGCCCCAAGAAGCCGCCCACCAGATGGTCCAAGAGGGCCCCGAGTCGCCGATGGATCGTTCCAAGACGCCCGAGATGGCCCCCAGACAGCCCAAGAGGCCCCCGAGACGGCCCAAGAGGCCCCCAAGAGGCGTCCCAAGAGGGCCCCCAGAAGCAAAAATCGTCCCATTCCCTTTCTAAGGAAACGTATGATTTTAGCACATTCGCCTGTTGGGCTTTCACAACGTCCAAGACGGCCCAAGAGGCCTCCAAGATCGCCCCAAGACGGCCCAGGAAGCCCCCAAGAAGGCTCAAGACGGCCCATGAGGGCCCCAAGACGGCCCAAGAGGCCCCCAAGACGGCTCCAGGAGGGGGCCCAGGCGGGAGACCAGAACGGAAATTTCGAGCCCTCGGCCCCAAGAAGCCTCCAGGAGGCCCCAAGAGGCCCCCAAGAAGCCTCGAAGAGGCTCCAAGAGGCCCACCAGAAGCCCAAAGAAGGCCCCAAGGGGCCCCAAAACGGCCCCCAAAAAGGCCTCAAAAATGCTGCCAGGAGGCCCCCGAGAGACCCACCAGGAGCCCCCCAAGGGGTCCGCGGTGCGGCGTAAGCCCAAGAATATGGATCCAGAGAGTTGCCGCACCTCGGTTGGCCGTACAACTCTGGAAGGCTACCTCTGCACGGGCCCAGAGCATCGCTGCAAGGCGGGTCAAACAGGTCTGGGGCTCCCCCCCTGCAAGAGCTCGGAACGTCGGCCTGCGGTGGACTGTACGGGTCGCGGGGCGCTTCTCTGTAGTGAACCGGAGCGTCGCCAAATGGTGGGCCGAATGGGTCAGGAGGTTGACCCCTGCACGGGCCTGGGGCGCTGCTGTATGGGGCGTCGTACGCGTCAGGGGGTGCCCCTCTGTATGGGCTGAGGGCGCTGCACGGTGGACCGTATGGATCCAAGGGGTGCCCCCTGTACGGGCCAGGAGCATCGCCATATGGAAGGCCGTATGGGCCTGCGGCGCCGCACCCGTACGGGCCTGGAGCGCCGCCATATGGCGGGCCGTACGGGTCTGGAGGGCCGCCTCTGCATGGGCCAGGAGCGGCGGCAGGCCCAAGGCCGCCGCGCGGAGCACTGCAAGGCACAGGGGAGCATCCGTAGAGGCCTGGCTCTGGCTCCCCGACGTAGGGGTCTGGTATTCTGCCGAACACACCACCCGCCACGTCGCCCTGGCCTTCACCCCCAAGCTTCCTAGTGGGGCCAAAGCCGCCGCCGGCAGGGCCACTCGTGCCCATGCCGCCACCATGGCCACCTCCTGCAAAGGAAGCTGTGTCGCCCTTGCCGCCACCCTTGCCTCTGCCATTGCTGCTATTGCCTCTTACTCCGCCCTTGCAACCGAGGTCGGCACCTGTGCCTCCGACTACATTGACGGCGCACTGCTTGCCGGTGCGCTCGTCTGCGCCAACCTCGTAGCGCACGCGGTCGCCCTCCTGCAGCGGGCCCCCGGCGACGCTGTTGCGGTGCACGAACATGTCTGGAGCCCCATCGCCCTGGCCAATGAAACCGAAGCCCTTGGCGCCGTGATAAAATTTCACCACCCCGAGCCTGGTGCCTGGGCCAGGGCCGCCTTCGGCCGAGCCCATCGCGGGCCCCGCGCCTCCGACGCCGCGCACGTCGAGGCGGGGCTTGCCGCTCCTGCCGCCCCTGCCGCCCCTGCCGCCCTTGGCTCCCTTGCCACCCCTGCCGCCCTTGCCGCCGCCGCCACGGGCCCCACAGGCATTGGGCTGCCCAGTTCCCCCGCCAACGTTCCTCGCCTGGGGCAGGCCGTTTCGGTCGCCCACGTCGAGGGTAACGGTGTCGCCCTCCCGCGGCAGGTTGTCGGGGCAGCCGCTGCGGTGCACGAACAGGTCTGACGTTCCAGCGCCTTGGCGAATGAAGCCGCGTCCCTCGTCGTTCTTGAAGAACTTGCCTTGGCCAGACAAGCTCATGGCAGAAGGCCTTTTGGGCGACCTCCTGGCCGACGGCTAGGCGGGCGCCCGTGTTGAAATTGCGATATGCACTCGGCCGAAATGATTATGATGGCGACGACGGTCAAGACGACGATTGTGGGCAAGACCACGACGGCGGCCAGGAAGGCCATAACATGAGCAATTACAAGCCCATTCGAGGACCGATACCACGTCTTAATATTTTGTGTCACTTCTCACTGACGTCTGTTCTGGCTGTTACACGCATGTCGATGTCGATGCTGACGCGAATTTCGATGCTGAAAGTGATACTGGTACCGATGACGATGCCCATTGAAGTGCCGAAGCCGCAGATGTCGACACTTACTCTGACACTGATGAATGTGCCCGCGCCCATGCTGACGTCCGCGAATGTGCCCCCGATAACGGCCACGCCGCCGTCGCCGACGCTTATACCAGGCAGATAATGATGACGGTGATGGCGAGATATGATGGAAACGGTGATGGCCGAACGCAGCACGCAGTGATTATACAACATGCGAAGATGTGCCATCGTTATGCGTCATCACACGGGCTCTCAGGCATACCAGCGACCTGCCAAGGTTTACAGCTCTTGGAGGTCGGCGACCGAAAGGATGTAGCTAAGCAACGGCCAGCGAACTCAGAAGCGCAACACGAAGGGACAGGAGGAGGAGGAGGAGGAAAGAGGAGGAGGAGGAGGACGGAGGACGGGCGGCCGCGAAGAGGGGCGGAGGGGCGGGAGGCGCACTCGGGCAGCGGAGGTCTCACAGCGCTGCGCCTGCGGCCTCGGGCTCCCTGGCAGGAGTCGCGCGGGGTGGTGCAGCTCTGACGAAGGGGCCCTGGGACACACAAATACTCTCGACCTCTTGGAAAACGTATATTTTTCGCATGTTCGCCTCTTGGGCTTTCGCCGCGTCCAAGACGGCCCAAGAGGCGCCCAAGACGGTCTACGAGGCCTCCGGGAGCGCTCCAAGGCTGCGCACGAGTGGCCCAGGACGGCCCCAAGACGGCCCAAGAGAGCCCCAAGACGAGCCCCAGGACGCCAGCACAACTAAATACACACAAATAGAAGGATTCCCCATGTTTTCCCATACTTTCTGGGTGTTTGTCTTCGCCCCCACTTCCCATAGTTTCCCTGCATTTTCTGGGGAATCGACGATTGGTTGTGTCTGTGTGTCTCTTTCCCTCCTGATCTGACTGGGACAAACCAGGGAGAGCTGGAGAGGAGCAAATCCCTGCCAGGGTGCGAGGGAGGTGATCGCCCGAGCGGGGCCCGAGGAGGACCATGCGTGCTGCTGGTGTGCACAGCGCACACTGCATTGAAGCGTGCCGAGTGGCTTCGGAGCCAGGTCCGAACGTCGAGACGGCTGCCTGCCTGGAAAAGAGATGCTGTCATCCCAGGTGGGCGAGCGGACCCCTCAAGAACTGCCACCGAGGTACGAGTGTGGCCCACTTCCGGGCCTCTGCAGCCCAAAGCGAAGCGCGTGCGACCCGCGATGCGGGATGGGCATGCCACGAGCCAGCAGAGCGCGGGTAGCAACGGCGCGCGCAAGCAACGGCGGCCGGGGCGAGGGATGGGGGAGGCAAGAGGAGAGGCGGAGGAAGCAGGGGGAAGGGAAGGAGCCGCCGCCGCATACGGGTGCATGGGCACGACCACGCGCGGAGGCGGACCGGGCTGCGCACAGAGCTTCGAGGGAAATTCTATTGCTGTGTCCCGCAGCTAGCTAGAACGAGTGCGGCATCAATCGAATCAGCACGACGCCAGCTTCCCAACTGATGAACAGGGGGCTCCATCATGCAAGGGCGCGGGCACGGCCACCCGGATCGATGCAGGACGAATAAGGCCAACGACAAACCCAGGGAAAATTCTGCGGCAACTCATGGGAGCCTCCCATACCATCTTGTCGGCTCTTGCGAATCTACGCGAATCGACGCTGATTCGACGCTACTCGACGCTAAATCGACGCTAATCGGCCCGAGCCGACGCTAAATCGGTGCTGTCTCCTCGACTCCAGATGCTCTCGTCGACGCTCATCGACGCCAAAGACGGACTTCAGAGGGCACACCAGGCCCCCCTGACTTGCTGCCGAAGGAGAAGATGCGCAGAGGGGAGGCTGGAGGAGAGCGAGGGAGGCGGGGCACGCCTACGTCAGGCCGCGCCTCCCGAAGCCCCACGCCCGCCGGCCCCCGCGCAGCTCCTCGCGGCCTCGCGCGGCCCCCCCTCACGGGCGCTCCGTGCGGCGGCGCCCTGCTCCGGCCGCGCCGGCGCCACGCCGGCGGCCTGCTCCGGTGGCGCCCGGGGCCACCCTGCGGCGCCACCGCCCAGCTCCAGGTCGGCGGCTGCCGCCGCGCCGAGCCGCCAGCTCGGGCTGTGGCGGCCCGCGGCCGCACGGGCCGCCCCCGCACCTCGTCCTCGTCCTCGTCCTCCTCCTCCTCCTCCTCCTCCTCCTCCTCCTCCTCCTCCTCCTCCTCCTCCTCCTCCTCCTCCTCCGCTTCCTGGGAGCCCACCCCAGGGCAGTCGGGCATTGCAGGAGTGCCCCACAGCGAACAGGCGACATGGAAGAGACATCTTTCAGATGATGAAAGGATAGCGGAGCCAATCAGCATGGACGTTGAACGCCTCATTAAACTTAGACGTTTTGCCCCAGATGGTAGGGTATACGAATTGGCCCCAAAATTTCGAGCAGAACGGGAAGCGATGTTGCAGAGAAACGTTTTTGGAAGAGGCCTCTCTGGCAGCAGCCAGTCTTCCCGTCCTGGTCAGTAGCCGACATCTTCTATCATGACGACACGGTTCTGATCTACATCCACCAACTCCATTACAGCTACGGAGAAACGGTGGGCGGGGTATTCTGCATACTGCACAGCACACGCACAGTTTAGAGATGGGTCACGGACAGTGGGGGGAAAATGGGACCAGAACACAAGGTACTACGCGATATTCGGGGCAAGTGGGCAATACACTTCAACCTCCATCGTTTCTCTTCGGCTGCCACAACCAATCGCCGGCTCAACGACGGCCCAGGTGCGCAGTGTTGCGCACTCGAGGGGAGACCTCGGAGTGCGGGACGCTGGAGGTGGCTGCCCATGGCCTTCACGGGCAGCAGTCCGCTACGGCCCTGCGGGCGATGCAGAAAGGGGCTCGGACACCACAAGAGGGTCGAGAGCCACAGGGAGCACACCAAGAATGCGCCCGGAAACGAAAGAGATCAAGGAGGCAAAGGAAGTCCATGGAAGAGGGTGTGCATCGACTGCGAGCTGGAGCTGAGGCTGGAGGAGTGGATCGACAAGACCGACGAGGAAAAGATACGACATGGAGGAGAGCAGTACACTACGAGGGAGCAGGTAGAAGAGGAAAGCAAGAGGAGCCGCGTGGGCAGCCTGGTCCCTGGGGCAGATCCAGGCGGCGACAGCGCTCGTTGAGGCCAAAGACGAACCTGAGAAAAAAAAATCTCGCAATCGGAGGAACAAACAAATCGTGAGGTAGAGAGCCTCTCTTGCTGGGCCACCTCGGAGCTCACCCCTTGAAGCTTCGGGGTATGCCCCCTGCCGGCCCGAGTGAGAAGTCAGGGCCATTGCACAACCAAGTCGCATGGGATGTTGCCAGACGCGCGCAAGGCACCATTCTAGGTGTGTTGACGTTGACCCCTTTATGCGGATGTCCTGTCCTGTCCTCCGCCTCCTCCTCCTCCTCCTCCTCCTCCTCCTCCTCCCTCCTCCTCCTCCTCCTGCTCCTCCTGCTCCTCCTCCTCCTCCTCCTCTTCCTCCTCTTCCTCCTCTTCCTCCTCCTCCTCTCCTCCTCCTCCTCCTCCTCCTCCTCCTCCTCCTCCCTCCTCCTCCTCCTCTTCCTCCTCTTTCTGCTCCTCCGCCTCCTCTTCCTCCTCCTCCTCCTCCTCCTCCTCCTCCTCCTCCTCCTCCTCCTCCTCCTCCTCCTCCTCCTCCCCCTCCTCGAGCACCTCCGCCCCTGGGCGGCGGCAGCGGGGGCCCCCGCGGGCCGTGCGGCTCGTGGCAGGGAGCTCCGAGAGGCGCGCCCCAGGGGAGCGGCCGCAGCGGCCGCCGCCCTGTCGGCTTCGCCCGGGGAGCGGGTGGGCGCTGGCCCCTCAGCGCCCAGCAGAGCGCGCCGATCGAGCGTTGCTCGAAAGTGCCCCCGGCCCAAGGTGCCCCCAGGATCTCCAAGGAGGCCCCCGCGGCCTCCAGAGCACCCCTCTCGAGGCCCAGGGGGCCCCGGGGGCTCCAGGATGGAGCAAAACGCTGGGGGCACCTTGGGCCAGAGGCACTTCTAGCAACACCCGAACTGAGGACCAGCGGGATGACCGATGATCCTCAGAACGCGTGATGGCGCCAGCGTGTGCTCGTCCACTGGAGCCCTTCGGACACGACGCAGGCGACATGCTGAGGGCCGGCGCGGGCTGCGGGCTGTCGGTGGAGCTAGGCGGGGCAACACACACACACACACACACACACACACACTCTGGGCTAACACGCGTCCTCAGAACCATCGAGATGGAGCTCCCGACCGCAGCCGCCAGCACCATGCCAGAGGCGGACCTGGAGCCGCTGGAGCCGTCGCCATTCTCCAGGGCAGCCTCGGAGGATGTGACGGTCATCGTGTTGCCTGTGCTGTCCGTTCTGCTTGTCGCTGTCGCGCCAGTAATGGTCGTGGTGGGCGTTGCGGTCACTGTCCGCTTGAGAACCTGCGCTGTGACAGTGGAGCCGGCAGGGTAGCTGTACTTCAGGGGGTGGTCCAGAAGGATCGACCCAAAACCAACGATTTTCGCTGATTCTGAATTGCCGTCACCGATGAAAACGATGTCAGATCCAAGCGTGAAACTGTCCTGCGATACAACACTCACTTCCACTGCGCCCGCGGAGACGTCTTGCGCTAGTGCCGTTGACAGCTCGACCATGGTGTTCGTCGTGGTGGCGCTGGTTGTGATCAAAGTGAGAGTAGTGGCAGCCTGGCTTATCGAGGAGAGGGTGGTGCTAGTCGGGCTTGTTTGTGTATAGGTCTGGCTGGAATATGTTGTGCTATGGGGTGTTGTAGACACGACCGTGGAAGAAGTCAGGGTGAGGGTATAAGATGT